ACAAATTTGCCCTATAACAAAAAAAAAAAAAAAAAAAAACATCTTACAGTATTTAAGCACCTTCTACATTAGTAATTTCCTTATAATTATTAAAATAAAGTACTACTGGCCAAGCAGGTGGCTTAGTGTTTAAGGTGCTGGAGTCCTACATAGTACATTGATTGCTGATGGTGGTTCGAGTCCTGGACCCAGCAATTTGAAACTCATGTCGGGCACATGTGTGCATTCCCCAAATCCCAAGAAGACAATGGAAGAAGAAATTGTGGTGTAGCCATCCTCTTGGGGGGGGGTTAATTTCTCATAATTTCTCTCTCTCTCTGGTGTGCACACACTCCTTATAGAAAACATTTCTCTAAAATATAAATAAATAAATAAATAAAATACTATTTCTTTAATATTTAAAGGCAGATAAGGCTATCTCTTATCAAAGGCAGTGCTACAATTTCTTTCTTTTCTGAGAAGGCATTTTTTAAAGGTAATTTGTAGGTATCTGCCTTATCAAACCACTCCATGGAATGAAAACATGTGAATACCTACCAAGTAAAACAGTATTCAAGCTTTCTTCATCAAATTTCCCAGCTATGAAACTTTGGTTTTTTTCTCAATACTATTTTAGTTTAGTGTTAGCAGGGTATAAAAATCAAGATGCCCTGATAAACGACCTAATCTAATCATGGCATCTCTCAGGAAATGAATATATTTGCTTAAATTATTTCTTTATCTGGACAGCCTGTACAATTTATATTACTTAATTACTATTTAATTACATATTTGTGACTTAATTTATTACTATTACTTAAGGTTTTACTCCTTATGAAAATGAGAAAACGAATCACATGAAAACGCTGTAGGATGTAGGATTACAGCAGCTCCCCGTGAGCGTGAGGATGCTAGGAGTAAGCTCGGTGAACGGCCATCTGTTACAGAACCAATGAGCTGAGGCGGCCCCTTCGCACACGTCGCCTACCCTTTCGCTTGTGAGACATCAGAGAGCGGAAGAATCCTGACGCTGGGCCTGCCCCGCCAGGCAACTGAGGGTCCACTTCCCCCATCAGCTGAGCTAACTCGGTTCCAGGTAAATCGATGAGCCTCGTGATATTGCTGACCACCAACTCGGTGAACACCTCAGGTTTCTCATGTCGGAGTTTCTCCACGAAAAAGTCAGGATTGAAGATAACGGGCTGCCCTCGAAGGGAAGAATCATTGCAGATCACGAAGCTGCAGATGGCATCACTGAGAAAATGAGAGAGAGAGAATCGTTGGGGGCCTCACTTTCCACTGGGCTCTTGGGTTCCTGAGTCCACTCATAGGCACAGCTCTCCTTACTGAGGGATCTACCCTTAGATTCTGCTCCTCACAACCAGAGAATGGACACTAATCCAGCTTTGTCCGGCTCCACAGAGAGGTTTCTCGTGTCTATTGTTATTCATGATAGAGTGCACCTAAGTTTGCACTTGGAGGGAAGGAGGGAGAGAGAGAAGCACCCACAACAAAGTCTCGTCACATCCGGCTCACTAGGATCGTGGGGGCACCGGTGCACCCCGTGTGTCTGCAGCTGACCTGCTGCCCTGAGCAGCGACCCAGGCATGCGGCTTCCAGCACTGCGGCTGAGTTTGCCTAGATCTCATTTCTGAGTCTTTCCATTCTGGATGCTTCCGACCGACCGAACACAGGAGTGCAACCTTTGCTCAGGCAGGTTCTTCTCTCCAGGGCCCCGACCTTCGCTGGTTTTCCACTCCTGCATAACACTGGGCTATACGCCTTTGACTCTCAGAAATAATTCTTTTTTTCTCAATGCTTAACTATTGTACCTCTTTTTATTTCTAATATATTTTCACATTTAAGAAATGTACTGTTCCAGGGGCTGGCAGGTGATGTGGTAGTTAAGGGTACTGGACTCCCACATGGCCAAATGCATTTCGAATCCTAGACCTGGCAGCTCTCTCTCCCTCTCTGGTCAAATTAAAATAAATAAATAAAGTTAAATAAAATAATTCTTTAAAAAAAATTTTTTTAAGTAT